AGCAAGGAGGAACATACGAGGTATCTCGGCCATTCAGCTAGGTTTTAAATGAATTCGGGCTGTGTCTTATAAATAATAAAGATTTATAAATTCTTTATAAAAGTGAATAAAAAATAAATTCACTTATAAGAAAATAAAGTGGTTGCATGAGATATTATTTTGTGGTGGTTGTTTCACTTATATACAGTTTAATTTCATCTTTGTTGAGGCGATTATGATGTTTCATTTAAGCTAGAATTTACATCACGCTTCTACTTAATCAGCATTTGCCCACATGTAAAGAATATTATTCAGGGGATCTTGTGACACAGTTCAGTTGCTGGACGTGAGGAATTCAGTGTTTCCAAGCAAGTGAAATGGAAATGAGGAGAGACACAGAATCAAGAGTCTTTTAGAATGCAAATGTTTATTGAATGTAAAAAATATAATAAACTTAGAGAAGCACCATAATACACTGCTTTTTACATGGCAAAACAAAATATTCAAAGGATGCTTATATATGTGAATCAACACAATTCTATGCAAACTTTTAATGGGATTTTCTGGGGTATGGCTGAATGTGGAGGGCAAATATTACACTTAATCAAATAATATAATCTGGAGAAAAGGGGTAAAAATTTTGTAGGTAAAAATGTGCACTTAGGGAAATATCAAGGAGCATTTGAAAAAAGGGTACAAAAATAGAAATCTGGCCCTACTGTAAATTCAAATACAGTATAAAACAACAGTAATGACACCTGCCCACCACATCAACAGCAAGTTCATATGGTAATGCCGGTCACATTATATGTACTCAGTCTGAACAAATGTTCCAATTTAAATATATAGATCAGTGTAACAAAATGAGAAGTTCATCATGGATACATTATAATACAATACAGACATGAAATATAATATAGCAAGCTTAGTAAATAGTGGATAAACTGTGGATAACATGGAATTTGTAAAAAAAAAAAATTGACTGTGGATCCAAATACATGCCAATTATATTAAATGGTTAAAGATATCAAAATAAATAAACTTAAGAGAGCAACTTGTAGACAAGTTAATATATACATCATATTAAAGGGTCATTTAAATTCACAAGAAAAAACAGGTCCCAAAAGTAGTCAAATTGTATGAATGGAGATTATTTTTACATTAAAATTGAGAGACAATGAAATTATTTTTAAATGGGAGAATGATTATGGTCACCATTAACATAAAAAGGCAACCCAAAAGTGCCATTTTACATTCAATAAACCACCAAAAAATTCAGTCGTATAAAAATGTGAGGAGGTTTGGTAGAAATGAAGTGCTCAGATATTGTTGGTAGCTTTATAAGTGATTTCAATCTCTTGCCATCAACATGGCTGTGTGAAGCCCATGAAAATACTCCAATACTCCTATCCTTTGATTTAATAACATTATTTCTGTTAATATTTTAAGGAAGCGTAGTATCTCTAGAGTTAAAAATAAATGAGAACATCTTGCATGTTCTTGCACACAGGAATGGTTAAGGAAATGGCTAAGTATGCTAACTATGAAATATTATGTGGCTACTAAAAATGAAAACTATATGAATTACATGAAAATGTAGAATGTGTTTATAAAATAATAAATGAAAAACATTAGAATACATTGTTGTTATCTGTGTGATGAGAGCATCTATGTGAAATATGCATATAAGGGCAAATAAATACTAGGTTAAAATTTAAAAAAATGAAAATAATTGTGTTTGGGTGATGGGATTAAGAGGTTCTTTTTGTTGTTGTTAAAAATATCTTCAATGTTGTTACATATTTCTAAAGAAAAATAATATAAATGACCAAGTAGGGCAGCTATACTACCTCTGGCTGTTAGGACACTACTTTCCAAATGTTATTTGAGAGCTCTGCCAAAATATGCCAAGATGTTTGGGGTTTCTAACAGTTAACTTATTCTGTTTCTTTATTCTCCTTGGCCAGATTTTAACTAGATTTACAAAGAAGCAAGTTACTTCTAACCATGATGAAGAGGGTGGTGGGGGGCTTGTGGTATTTGCTAGTCTATTCCCACTCGCTTTGCACTCATGGCCTTGTGTTTTTCCTTCTCATCCTAAACTGGGAAGCATCTTTAGTATCATTGGTGCTCAGAGAAGCTCAGTGCTGTAAAGGGAAAATAGTGAAATATTAGTCGGGAATTGACCTTCCAGTTGCCAGTTGCATGACCTTGGGCAAATGATTGTGACCTTCTGAGTCTCAGTATTCATCATTAGTAGAAGGAGGGTGTTTGATGGCCCAGATCTGGATTAAGGATTAGTCTAGACGTATAAAGACATCACAGTTACCAAGCTGACTCCAGGGTGCCAAGTGCTACTGAAATGACACATTTACTGTGTTCATTGTTGCAACAGCATGGATGGTGAAAGTGCTCTCAGGAAGTGGTCTGGTCAACTCAGAGAGCATGGTTCCTATATACTACATGGGATAAATCATTAAGCTAGAGAAAGTCACTCAGGTTCAGCATTGTGGCTACATTTGATTTATTATATATAAATATAGACCAATTGGGGACAAGCATGATTAACTATTAGCTAATGATAAATTACTCAATTATTTACATAACTGACTGTACTACAAAGTTTCAGATGCATTTAGATTTTCTGATGAAGCCAAAATACCACAGACTGAGGTGTTTTCTTTTGTCCCCCCCACCCCCACCTTTTTCCTAATGTGTTGAGGCAGGCAATAAAGACAAATTGAAGGTAAGAAGGTTTAGATTCAACTGCTTCCATCAGATTATAAAATTATTTTAGGCATTGCACTACTGTATGGTATAGAAATTGTAGGGAGCCTATGGTGGTATCTTAGGTGTCATTGCTTATTTCTAAGGAAATGAACATTTCTAAAGAATGTTCTATTGTGGTTTGTACACATGGGGCTCACCTGTTATTCAGGCAACAGATCTGTATCTTCTGTGCTAATTAGGAACAGTCATTCATCTGAATCATCCACACAGATGACTAATATATTTTGTACTTAACTGCTTGTGAGGTTTGGTATGAGGTACCATAAATTAGTAATATCACCACAGAAATATTCCTAAGTAATTTGAAATCACAGACCACTCAAATAAGCATAGTTAGATTAAAACAACAATATACGTGCTATATTTTAGATCAAAGACCTTTTGAGATACTGGCTTAATGACTGGCCACACTCCAGTAACTTAGGTCCTTTTATGAGGCAAGAACTACATATTAAGAAGACAGTACACTAAGAAATAAACAAGCACAGAAAGGAGATGGTAGATCTAAATTTTGGTACAGGTCCATTTCACACATGTTGACAAATCAGTGAGAAAAGGATTCCTAAGAATCTTCAAGTCATTTTGCATCACAAGGGGAAGTGCCCTCACTCTTTCTTGGAAAGTGACTAACATGAGGCTAAGTTGCTAAACAGTATCCTAGCACAAAACCATCACGGCAAGAATTCAGAGGTGATATTGTAAAGCCATCTTCTGAACATCGTTTGAAAGAGCCTCTGCAACTTCCATAAAGGCCTAGAAAAGTACAAAAATATTTTCACAGCTCTAGATATTCAAGTGTGGAAAATGTGTATGCTGTACCATTTGCAACTCCTTTAGGTGCTTGTATTTGTTGATCCAGAGTAATTTAAAATAACCAAACCATTTGATTTTTATCTTGTCATATTTATTGCAAGAACCCTAGAATAAATAATTAAGACTACTTGTCTCTGTGAATGAAGAAGTCTTTTGAGATCATGTCCCTATGAATTTTCTAGATATTTATTTCTTGAATAGCAGGAAGTCTAGAATCTAGACAGTGGATTGTCTTGGAAGTGAAAATGTATTTCCAGTGACTACTGTGCTACTTAGTATGTATCATTGTTATTATTTGTCTTCTCCATTGTTAGGAATGTTTTTGTTTTCTTCTGGTTTAGGGTTTTTTTGTTTTTTTGTTGTTTTTTTTTTGAGCATCTGCCTTCTACTAGTGGATAGCAAATCTATGTCAGCTTTTTTTAAATACTGAGATTAGCTAAATTAATTTTACTAATATGTGTGGTGAGATTAGAGGAGTGGCAATACGTGACTAATTCTAAGTTGATAATAAGAAAATCATGTGTTTATGGCTATGGAATAGGTTTTTGAAATTTCACTTGGATATGGTTGGATCTGATGTTCTGGGACTTTAAAACATACTAAACCTATCTTGGGGAGACTTGATTCAGGAGTAGTTGGACACTGTCCAACTTTGTAATCTCACTCTTCTGCTCAGCCCTCCAGCGTCCTATTTATTTTAGGCTCTCATCAGTTGAGATGTAGCTTGCTTTCTCTCAAACTTACTCTTGGAACTGAAGTAGTAGTTTAATATTCAGGCTTCAGAAAAGGTGTGTCTACCAGTAAAGTAAATGGAATTAAATGATGTTATTTATAAACCTATAAGCTGTTTATGGGTCGTTAGTAGAATAAACACTTGCTGTGGGAGGCCAGATATAACATTCAAAGGATGATTTGGAAATTCATACATGCCAGTGAATTCCCTCCAAATGATCTATCTAGGTATTAGTTTATATTCCTCAACAGAGATTATGTGTAACTAGAGTTTAACTGTTTTAAGTAATAGCATCCTATACATTTTCACTGCATCAGTAAATTAATAGGAATCAATGAGCCAAATTCCAAAGCAATTGGTTGCCATCTAATTTTACACGTCCTAACTGGCATTATATAGTCATTGTTTATGTGTGTCAATCAGTACTGATGATAGTCTTCTGCTCTCACATTTATTGTGTTGTTTTATTATTTTCTCTATGCTTGAACATTCATTTTATCCAAAACTAGGAAATTTAGTTGGCAGTTGCTTTTGTTGTTTTACACTTTTAAGTAGTACAGTAACTTGGGAGAAGATTTAATAGTAATCTTGATTTGATTTGTGTTATTAATGTATTGATCCTATGCTACTCTGGCTTAAACACTATTTGTTTTTCCTTTTGTTTTCCTTTCCTCATTAGGTGGAGTCTTTGAATTTTTAAAAAGACAATGGTAATCAGATCGACTTGAAAAATTAAGTGAATTGATTTGGTTGGAACACTCTTTTACCAATTCAGTAACATTCAGCTTCTGGGTAAGTTGAGTCAAGTGCTTTTTATATGGTTTGATTTCAAAATTATTGGAAAGATCTCTCAAACAAAATGTTAAGCTTTATGTGAAACTTGGGCAGTAGTGATTTGAGGCCCTTACTACCTGTGAAGGATGTTTGGGATACTATCTAAATGAACATGTTTGCAAGTTTTTACAATATTTCTGGAAATATCCCAGAATATTTAATTTCTGGAAATTAGAAAACATGGTCATTTGTAGTTTGGAAACATATCCTTTTAGTTACTATTTTTTCCTTATTTTTATTTTGTTTTTAAAGTTATTTATTTATATTGAGAGAGAGAAAGAGAGAGAGAGAGAGAAGGGGAGGGGCAGTAAGAGAAAGGGAGAGAGAGAATCCCAAGCAGTCTCTGTGCTGACGCAGAGCCCAATCCCATGAACTGTGAGATCATGACCTCAGGTAAAACCAAGAGTCAGACAGTTAACTGACTGAGCCACCCAGCCCCCCCCCCCCCCCCCCCACTTCACATTTACTCTTTTAATAATTATTTGCTTATTGAATCTTGGGGTACTATAAGAATATCGGATTTTACTCTTAGTGAGATATTTATGTATAATTTTATTGTATCAGATTCAAATCTGAAGTCTAATGAACATTTTGAGTAAATTAGCATCTCTCCTTATTTTAAAACCATTCTCATTTTACAGAAAGTTTGATTTCTGTGATAAGAATAGAAACCTTAAAAGTCTTACTCAATTCAGCTTCCTCATTGCACTGCGAATCTGTGGAAAGCTCTTGAGGTAGAGAACTCCTAACCAAGAGGAGTTTAGGCTTTTAGCAAATTACGGGTGCTGCCAAGACAGAATTTAGTGGGAACAGGACTTTGGCTACTGCTAAAATGTCAGTATAGTAAAACCTGCTCTGTCAAACAGATTTTTGGCATCAGAAGTCTAAATGATACTGATTTTAAGGTTTGGTTATTTTTTTTTAAATCCAAGCAAACTCATGTTTTAATTAACCCTTTCCACAGTAACAGAAAATTTGGAAAAATATTTGTATTTCTAGTCCAGGTCACAAGATTTACATTTCTGATATTCTAAATTTTATGCAAGATTCTAAATTGTGCGGCTTGTTATTTAGTTTTCCTCTGAATAAATGGAGGCTATTTAAAAACCTGATGGACTATCATGAATAAGAGAGGAAAGCGTCTAATCATTCGGGAAGCAGCCTTCAAAACCGAACTAAAAGTGTCTGCCTCACCGATGGGCATCTTAAGACATGCTGAGGTCAGGCGGTTTTTCAGGGATACTGTTGCATAATTCATATGATGCCAACAACTGCTTTAGAGTTGTCCAAAATAATCTCCCTTGAGACAACTGCCCTGGAGCTTGATCTGTTAGTGTGGCTTTTGAGTCTTCAACAAGTATAGAAATATCAAGCGTGGAAACCTTGGGACATCTTTTAATTTTGTCTGTAAGGCTCATGACCCAAGATTCATTTGCGACCAGTAATTTCCATTGTTATGGGCACCAGGTGAAATTCAGAAAAATTTCTTTTGGATAATGAAAGGGATATAAGGCAACTAGATGAAAAACCCATTAGGAAGAGAAATGTTTAAAAAAATGTCAAAATAGCTATTATAGATGTTAGAAAATGAAAGTTAATATTGTTTACCACTAACCTAAATGTTTTTGTCTGCCACATTCAATTTTCCATGTACTCACAAGGTTGTACATGGAAAACAACCTTGCCTTCTCAGTTATTCCCAAAGTACCCCACGGTGCTACAGTTAAATTTCAGTTGGTGGGACATAACCTAAGGGATGTTTAGGAGACTGCACAGATTATGTTCTGTAAGTGCTGTCTGAGAATGAACATGGCTTGGACGTTGAATATAGTTGGCCTTCTCCTTGTTTATCATACTGTTAGTTCTGGGAGCCTTTGCTTAAAAGTCAGCTCATTGCAGTCGCTGTGTCTTAAAATACTTTTTTTTAATTAAATAAATTCATAAGATTATGTGAGGATTAAACTCCTGGCAGGTAGTAGGAGCTCAGTAACTAGTGGTGATTATGATGATGATTAGTAGTGGTAATAGTAGTTATAATCATTAAACGTAACAATACTTAACATTTTATTAATCATGTGACTGATTCCTTAGCCTGTCATTGAGGACATAACTCATAGAGATGGGTACATTTTCTCAATTAAACCAAATACTTACTTTGATGAGGAAACACTTCATATGAAGTTGGTATGGTTCTTTTACGATGTCTGTGTTGTGTATAATCAGCAATCTGTCCATGACCTTATCTGTGAACCTGGCCTTGTCCATTAGCCCAAGTGAGGATATTTTGTATAAATGATACATTTAAAAATTTGCCACCCCAAATTGGTAGTAGATAGAAAACAGTTACTAAGACAAGAAAGGAAAACCCTCACCATAAGAGAGACCTTTCTGACACTTTTTGTAAAATATAGTAAAAACAAGTGATTTTATCTTTTAATCAATACTGTTGCTCTTCATTCGTTGCCATTTTCTTTCGCGAAGCCAATGCTTTTGACTGGTCTTGAAATTATTCATTTTAAAGGTAGTATTAGCTGGACTGTGGGCCTTTAACAATGTACTCAGATTTATATTTTTCATTGCATTAGATATAATTAGTTAAGAACTATGTAAGTGGCATGTATTCTTTAAGCTGAGGAAAGGTAAGAAGGAAAGCGAAAATCATTACCATGTTCCATGAGCCGGGCTCTGTGCTATAGGTGCTTAATCTTTTTAAAGTAAAAATTAAGAATACCATGATCACTCGAGGAAATTGAGTTTCAGAGCAGTAATTACTTAGCTGAGAATTACATAGTTATTATAGTTAGTAATTTTGGGAGTCAGAAGTTGTTGAAATCCAAATTTAATTTACAAGTAATAAAATAAATAAATATATATGACATTACTTACACAAATATGGAAAATAAAAGTGAGGAAAACTGTTAATCCATCCTATCTGGACTCATTTTACGAGATTTTATAAAGATCTGATGAAATTACACATTGGATCTACTCTGTGCTCTCTATGGGTTTGGTATACTTTTTCCTCCTGTCACGTAGAATTCAGAATAGACTCTTGAACTTCAGTGTGTTGTGGCCTTCAAAATGTGTCCTTTTAGGTAGGGTCATTTTTTTTTTTTTATAGCTTTTCAGATGCATACAGCTCTTCTGTTCGGGTCCTTTATGTGTTAAGGTAACTGAAGAAGGTATCAGTATTTATGAATGAGTATTACCAAAATGATATGAAGCTTAGACTCAGTCTCTGCTTACCACAACTGCTATTTCTTCTGCTATTATAGCCTGTGTGAATGGAGCGCATTATTGTTAGCTTCTTGGGCTACATGGTTTCATTTTTCCAAAATTATTTTCTTCCACTTTTTACACAACCTGATACTGCCAGCTTTTTGGTTTTTTTTAAGTTTATTGATTTATTTTGAGAAGGAGAGAGAGAGAGAGAGAGAGAGAGAGAGTGCATGTGGGGGAGGGGCAGAGAGAGAGGACACAGAGAATCCCTGGCCGATTCTCTGTTAGCACCGAACCTGATGTGGGGCTTGAACTCACAAATTGTGAGATCATGACCTGAGCTGAAACCAAAGGTCCAGTGCTTAACTGACTGAGCCACTCAGGTGCCCCTTTCCTGCCTTGTTTCTCAAGCATTTCACTTGGTTCTATTTTCACTCATTCCCACATTCCATACCTTCCCCCTTCATTTATTCATCATTCAGTCAACAAGCATTAATTAAGCCAGTAGTATGAACAAAGCACTTTTTTCCCCATGAGCATTTTTTAAGCATCCATAAACTGAGGGTTGCTTTTATATCATTTCATAGTATTCCCTCCTGCCTATCCTTCTTCTTGTCTACTTACTTCAGGTCATAGTGAGGGATGGTTGTGGGTGGTAAATCTCTCATTTTTTACTCTCCACACAAAACCTACACAATAGGACTTAGTAATTAATTAGATTCTTTGTTTCTCTCATGGTGGGAATTACCATTTGTGTAATACTGTACTGTGTACAAATGGCTTCCATGTTACATTATCTCACTTTAGACAATAACTGTTATGTAGATATTACTCACATTTTATTTTGTGTCTGAGGAAACCGAGGCTCAGGGGATTACAACTGAGTCATTTGCTCAAAGTCACAGCACTAGTGAGGCATACAACCAGACTTTAACCCTAGTTCCTACAACTTTAGATAGTACATCACTTGCTGCCGGGTCACCAGTCTAGTTGACTGCCAGTGTTCAAATATTGGAGCTTTGCTGACATAGTCACTATGTTATGTTCAGTATGAATTCAATATGAAAATAGGAGCCATGTTGAAGTTTTGGAGAAAAATCAGGTCTTGTAGAAAAGCTTGGAGGCAGTGTACCTTTCCCTTCCTTGATGATACTGTTAAATTCACCCAGTGACTTCCCCTGCTTAGAGAATCTCACAAACTCCAGGCAACATCCTTAGATATCAAGAATAGCCCTTGGAATTCTGATTTTCTTAGATAGTTTACATAATAATTTGCTCAATTGAGTATTGGACAAAACCACTCACTTAGAGATCATTATTTTTGAACCTGATATCACATTGACTTCTCATCCATGAATTGTCCAAAGAAAAATTAACTTTGTGTTTTCTGCCTCATCTCTTATTTGCATTATTTGTTACTGGTTAATTATACTTTACTGATACCAGAATCTGGAGAGTTTTTTTATTTTAGTATTATTCATTTAGGATATGAGCATTACTCATCTTCATGTTTTACGTCATTTTCCTCTGACTCCCCTTAACATTTTATACTTCTCTTGTGTCACTTTTTGTATGTATTTTCGTGCTTTATATTAAAGTGATTACTATGGTTTTTCTCTCACATGCCATACTGTAAGCTGCTTAAAGGCAAAGGCTGTGTCTTTATTTTGTTAGTGTCCCGGTCAGCCTTGAAAATGGTGATTGAAAAAAAATAGTAGATATTCAGTAAATATTTGTTT